AACTGCAATGTTCATTCTGTATGAGCTGAGAAAGAAAACAGCACAGATTTAAAGAATCCTATTTAGAAATTATATAATTCTGATATCCAGCATATCTTTAAGTCAACTTAAAAGTACACTAATATATGAAAAATATTCTCAATTCCTCTGTGAGGTAGGTCCATATTATTGTCCTTATTTCAAAAAGGAGGACAAGAGGTACAGAAGAATTAAGCAGCAGAACTAAGAATTAAACCAGGAGTGGCTTAGGTTTAAATTCCATACCACTTTCTTTTCCACCTAATTTTATCAATTTGTTCTAATAGGTCTTTTTGAGGGTATGGAACTCAGTAAGACCCTAAAGCAGACAGAACATGAAACTCTTCACATAAATGTCAAAGTAGGTTCTCTCACATTTCCATGTTGTCACAGCTGAAATTCTTGCCTGAATGCGAACTGCACAGTAAGATTCCACATAGGCAAAGCACATAGACTTCAACCCTCAGTTCCTAGAGAAACCACATTCATTCTTATTATGGAGGACTAAGGTCTAGCAGGCATCAGGTTCTTTTAGTCTGTGAAGTATTAACACACATCAGCTGGCAGACAGTTGGCAAATCAAAGTTTTGCCATGTACAAGGCATTGTGAGAGTTTTTACCAAGAGTAGTAGATCCAAGTATAATTTTTTTCTGAGCTTCTGTAGTGTACACTTTTCTAAGGATTCCTAGAATCACAGATTATTACTTGATCTCTAATTTTCTGCCCAGCTCCAGAATTACTCCATAATTTTACAGATGAAGATACTGACATGAAATTTGTGCCTGGGACCCACAATTTTAGATCATTTCCTCATATGATCTGAATTTGATGAAGTAAAAATGGAACATATTCTCAGGTTGCCATGATTAAAATAAAAAGGCTGGTCAGAATCAGAGAAGGGAAATTTGGGGCAAGATAATATTTTATATGTATAAGTGTGTATGTATCTTTCACTTGTTTTTAGTCCATATACTACATGAAAGGTATTATTAATAATAAAATCTATTCTTTTCTATGGAAAATTTCCCAATAGTTCACCATTTAAAGGAACCTGAATAATTTGAGAATTGTTGCAAAATAGATTTTTTCAAAAAGCAGACTTTTATAGGCATAAGAGGAACTAATTTCAATGAATTTGAGCATTTACTTTTAATTAAATTAGCAAAAAATTATTTTCACTATGTGAAACTGCTCCAGTTAATCAAGTGAATATAATTTCTATATCCTACTAGGTCAATACAGTAAATTTTAATTAAATGTTGTCTGGGGGCTTTATATTCAAGTACTAAGGTTTGAGATTTTTAAGTGGCAGCTTACTTGTAAACAAAATAAAAATAATAATTATTTCCTAAAGCTCTCGCATATTTGGGAAAAAAATCCTGTGTGTTCAAAGGCTTACAAATAGAATGGCAAAGTGATAAACATTAACACAGTTTGATCAACTGCTCAGATATTAGTGTTTACAGGTCATAATATTAATACTATGTACGTTAAATACATACATGAGTTTTGGTAGGGCTTCAATCAAAGACTATTGTTTTTGCAGAACCATGTTAAATTACATGGTTACCATTATAGCATTAGAATTATACTAATTTTTCAGTGACTGATAGTCCTGTTTGGAATATTTTGCCACTGATGCATCACATGATTAGGGGAAAAAAGCAAACAAGCCTTGTATAATAAAAGAAAAATAAACCTAGTTGAAAAGGATGGTTCCTAATATAATTAATTCATTTATTCTGCTTCCTTCAGAATAATATGTTATCTTTGTTCAAAAAAGACAAGGCACTTCTCCATCTTTTTCTGAAGTCTGACTATAATAATCTCTGTTCTACATTAACATAGGGGTTAGGGGGAGAACAAAGATTAGAGACACGTCTGGGATGAAGTTATTAACTCTCTAAATGATACTTGCCTGTATTTGTTGTTAATAACACATATGCTACTGGCCTTTTGGACAAGCTTAAAAATTGCCAGTTGGACCTATTTATGAAGCAAGAAACTTGGGCCAAATGAGAAGCACTGGAACATTAATTAAAAAAAAACAGTTTTAACTGTAATCTCAAAGTACTGGGAGATTTACATACTTTGGCAGATACATGTTATTCTTCTCTGGAAATATCCATGACGCATTTCGTAAAGAAATATTAACATAATCAATAAATTCAAAACTATTTTCTTCAATCCATAAACAATTTTCACAAAACTACTAACCCAATGTAAGAATACAAGTATGTTCTATCCTAAGGATAAACGAAAAAGACTGGATAGGAGAGGAATTAATCACCATAGTGTGCCCTGTCATTTTAACATTAATTACAGCCAATTTCACGGAAAAGAAAACAAACCCCTAAAACACTCCAAAATACTCAACTGTGAGTCAGCCCTTTGCAAGGGAAAATAGTTTGAAAAAGCTGTAATATAAAAGAGAAAAAAAATTTAGTGCTTTCTGGGTAGTTCAAGAAACTAAGATGAGTCACCCAGCATGGTAAATAATACAATAGAAGCTTTAAAATTAAGTTTACACATGCTGGCAAATAGTTTTTTTTTTTTTTTTTTTGAGACACAGTCTTACTCTGTCACCCTACGTAGACTGCTGTGGTGTCATAGCTCACAGAGACCTCAAACTCTTGGACTCAAGAAATCCTTTCACCTCAGCCTCCAGAGGGCCAGGATCACAGGTGTGAGCCTCCACACCTTGCCTGGGCAAATAGTTCTTATGAAAAATACTATCCTGGCTTGAATTATATTATGTCACCTCAAGATAGATACTCTATTCCCATCTCAGTATTTGTTTCATGGAAACAATTCACCACTTCCTGCTGTTCTTTGAGCAAAACAAAGAATGATTTTTATACATGGAAGAAAAAGCTACTATGGCCACCATATGGTAAAATTCTAAGGTTACAGAAAAAAATAAGATTTTTAAGGGTTGATACTTGAAAGCAACTATTCTATCAATAATAATTAGACATTTTGTATTATGCTGGAAATCAGTTTTGGTATTAAAATGTCACAGTTTGAAGCATAAATTTGATGACATTAGCTGGAATAGAAACCAGCTACAATTTTTCCCTGACCTTAGCTATAAAACAAGACATTTGGTATGCATTTTCAGAGGTTTCCACCTTGTCTATAAAAATAATCCTTAATTTTCATTTTTCTTCATACAGTATCACAGGAATGTAGAAGCAATAATCCAATGTACTCAATTCTAATATGAAGCCAGTAGATGATCTAATACATATCCACATAAAAGAAAAACTCAAATCAATTCAAGGTGGAGGGCGGGAGACGTAGGAGCAGGGAGATGGAAGGAAGGAGGGGGAAGGGGGTGCTGCCACTTAAGGGTCATGACGTTATGGGACACAATTATAATAGGGACTTTACCTGACAAAAGCAAATAGTGTAATTTAATTCTTTGTATTCTCAATTAACCTGAAACAGTAAAAAAAAATATCCTCTGAGAGAATAAAAAAAATACTCCTTAATTTTGCAGCAGGCAGACAGACACATGGTGTTTGCAGGCATACACAATACATTCAAAGTTAGAGATTTTGGATGGCTGAGTGGCATGGAGGTAATGGGAATTTACAGAGGGAGGTGAAAAAGTGTTTTTGTAAATAATTATAATCAAATAGTATCTCCTCTTCTCTTTTTATTAATTGGTCAAGGATTTTGGATTTCATATTAGGCATGAATTTTTAAAAGTAGAAAAAAAGGCTTGACCTTATATGAAGAAATAATTATTCTCTTTACTGGCATGAAGCCTTGCCTAAAAAGTTTACTAAAAGCAATTAAGAGTAAGATGACAAAATATTTAGTCCTAGATACTTTTAATTTATTTTTAGCACTATGACTTACAAATAATGCCTATAGAGGCATACATTTGCAGTTGAATTAATGTGATATGAACCTTTTACTCTACTAAAATTTCAAATTCTAGTAGATTTAGAGTGTAGTGATTTTTCACTTAATTCTGAAGAGAAACAGAAATATGCATCAATGAAATGGCTACATTTGTGGTGAATTTATGAACTAAAATACTTTTGTCTAAACACTTGTCTTTTCTTATTACTAATATTCATATGTTTTTAAAAGATTCTCAAGAAGAGGACAGACAATATTTTTATCAATTATGAATCAGCTACTATATATTCTTTAGGTACAACTTCTCCATTATTTTTCCCTCTTTCCCAAAGTAGAATATCAGAACTCCAGAAATGAGTTAATAGTGGCTTTCACAGATACCTCCCAAGACATGAAATCTCAAAGTATTCCTTTAAGGTCATGATTATATTTTCAAATGAGGGAAAGGCTACATAAAGGGAAATAAATGAAGAATGATGAGGCTGTCAAATGTGAATACTTTTCAGAGTGGGAGTGCAGAATAAAATGGGACTTATTAAATGAAATGGAAATAATAAGGTTCTTGGTTTCAGGTACAATGCAGAATGTCTGAGATAATGGTTTGTATGTTAATCCACTTGTTACAAAGGACAATCCTGCCCTACACCTGAAATTTCTGACATACTTATTATGGCTTTGCCATACAACAGTCTGTTACATTCAAAAGGATTCTTGCAAACTTCTTTCATATTCAAATCTATGAAGAATTGTTGGCAATACAGTAAAAGTAATATTACATTCTGTAAACCATGGCATACCACATTTTACATTATGCAAAGTGATGCTATTTACAAGTCTTTAGGAGTTTATATATTTTATCCACAAACATAAGTGATAATTTAGCAAAGTGCAGGACAAAATCAGTGTCATCAATTGCATGTCCTTTAAAAGCAGAGTAAAACCACTTCTAAAAGCTACTAAAAGCTTACTTAAGTGTGTCCAGTAAGGGATTACAGAGTATCAAGTAGCCTAGAAAAATGATGCATATTTAGAAATAGTGAATATGAAAATTATAAGGCAGCATGCTCAGAATAAGCTTTTGTTTTGTTTTTTAAACACCAGGAACTATCTGTATACATATATGTGCACACATGTTGTGTATTTATTTAAAATTTGAAAGTGCAAAACACAAGCCTCATTTAACAACAAAAAAGATGTGCAAATTTTCTTCAAAAACCAACACAAATAAAAGAGCAGGGAGAATATTCTACCATTATAAACAGTAAATTGAACACAGTAAAGGAGATCATCTTCATTCCAAAATCATGTACAAGGCACTAAGGGTAGGAAGTGACAGATAACACAGAAGTGACTAGATAAAAGTCTTCAGTCAGGTCGAAATATGGGGTATTTTGGTAAGAATTCTATTAGTATTACCTGTAAAATAAAAACAAGAATATATTTATAAAATATTTTTCATTTATTATAATTTATATTACTCAGAAAATCTATAATCATTTTCACAGGACTATATTTTGATTTTGTACTATACACATACAAAGTAAGCGATGTATGTGAAACAGTTAAGTAAAAGAACTTAAACCACAAGTTGTTATTAGATTTGCAATTTAAAAATTAAGTTGGCAGGGCTGGGTGTGGTGGCTCATGCCTATAATCCTAGCACTGTGGGAGGCCAAGGTGGGTGGATTGCCTAAGCTCACATGTTTAAGACCAGCCTGAGCAAAAGTGAAACCCCATCTCTGAAAATAGTTGAGTGTTGTGGTGGGTGCCTGTTGTCCCAGCTACTTGGGAGGCTGAGGCAAGAGAATCATTTGAGTCCAAGAGTTTGAGGTTGCTGTGAGCTGCGATGCCACAGCATTCTATTGAGGTTAACAAGTGAGATTCTGTCCCCCCTCCCCCTCCAAAAATAAAAAAATAAAAATTAAGCTGGCAAACAAAACTACTTGTTGTAGCTAACAGTTTTTATTAGATGCTTTACAATACCTATTTGTTTAGGTTCAGAGAAGCTAACCTTATTATATTATTATGTTCTTGTATTTCCCCTTTTAAAAGCAAAATTGAAGAAATTAGAACTATATTACAGAGATTTAAAAAATACACTTATATGTACATATTTTTCAATTAATACTACTGATATTAGTTGAGAATTATTATCTTTTACAAGTTGTGAAAAATAACACAGCCTAAATAGATTATTAAAATGCTTTAATTAAATAAATGTTTGGGAGTATAATAATAAAACCTTAGATGTTTTTGAATGTTTTATCTACAATAAATTTTAGATTTATGGTTATTTGCATATTTTCCCCCAAACTATACAAAGTGGAGAGAAATGCCAAAATGATACTTAACTAATGAAATGCAAATGGAATGTTTACTGTTAAATATATACTTATGTCAGCAACTTGAAGCTTGAATAAATGTAATTTTCTTTTTTCTTTTTTTTGAGACAGAGCCTCAAAGCTGTCCCCCTGGGTAGAGTGCTGTGGCATCACAGCTCACAGCAACCTCCAACTCCTGGGCTCAAGCGAGTCTCCTGCCTCAGCCTCCCAAGTAGCTGGGACCACAGGCGTCCACCACAATGCCTGGCTATTTTTTGGTTGCAGCCGTCATTGTTGTTTGGTGGGCCCAGGCTGGATTCGAATCCACCACCTTAGGTGTATGTGGCTGGCACCTTAGCCACTTGAGCCATAGGCACCGAGCCTGTAATTTTCTTTTTGATGTTAATGATGCTAAATTGGTCACAATGGCTATATGTGAAATGATGTTTTATAACTACGATTTTAATAGTCTTCAGTAAAAATATTCCAAACATACAGTTCTGTCACTAAAACTTAAATATCAGCAAAAACCCAGAATTATGAATTCACAATTAAATTCATATTTTATGTAAGTTTTAACAAGATTACATTTAGAAGCATTTTGTCCAACAGCAGCTCTTCCTACCACCATATGCTATGGTTTATACCTCTGACTAAAGTTGTACAATATTTTCATTTAAGTATACTAGCTGAATATTCTCTAAGATCCACATAATTGTTAGCTTTCAA